GAAAAATGTGATGGAAAATGAGTAGAAGAATGAGAAGGAAAAAAAAATAATGTGTACCAAACAAGTCATTAGTGATAGATTTTTAACTTGGTGATGACTTGAATCATTCAACTCGACACGAGTTGCAGCAGTGGGTATCACATTTTTCTAGCCATGTGATTCGATAGATTATGAACGTCTTGACTAAGTGAATCATCTCCAAATCAAGTGTCTGAAGTAGATGATTTTGTCATCAAACTCAATTATCGAGTCAACATTTTACTAAAATAACAACTTTACCTTGAGAGAAAGAAAGTCTAACATATACTTGTCTTCTTTATTAACACTCATCTTGCTCAACACACCTCATACCTACCTCGATCAACCACCAATCAGAACTTCCATGTTATGTAGAAGTGTTACGCCATTTCGATACATAAATCAACGTATTTAGTGATAGATTTTTAACCTAGTGAAAACTTGAATCATTCAACCCGACACAAGTTACAGCAGTGGGTATCACATTTTTCGAGCCCTGTGATTCAATAGATTATGAATATCTTGACTAAGCGAATCATCTCCAAATCAAGAGTCTAAAGTAGACGATTTAGTCTTCGAAGGCAATTACCAAGTCAACATTTTACTAAAATAACAACTTTACCTTGAGAGAAAGAAAGCCAAACATACACTTGTCTTCTTTATTTACACTCATTTTGCTCAACACACCTCATCCCTACCTCGATCAACCACCAACCAGAACTTCCATGTTATCTTGAATAATTTACACAGTCTTACATGTAAATGGGAATTAAATTTGGGATTTTTCACCATTTGCTGGTTTTTAATATTTCGGTCATGGTAGAATCCGACAGTGATCTGATTGCGTCAAATTGACGATTAGTGACTAAATTTGCAAGAAAATAAAAGTTATATTACTTGAATGTACTGAATTAAAGATAAATGATCCCAATACAACTCTACTCAAAGTAGGGTGACCCGCAGTGCATTTAGCCTTGTCAAAATTAGCCAAACATGCTACTGACGACCGGTGTTTGAAATTGTAAGTGGAAGTGTACAGTGAGGCGGCGATGGAGAAGGGCGCCGACGATAAATTCCGCAGGTCTCTTCTTTATTTTTGGGTGTATCATATCCGGTTATACACTGGATACACCGTCTTCTGCTGCATCGGTCTTTTCACTCCCCAATCTGGTCCGTATTTCCCCAAAACTCTAATTGTGTAATTGTATTCGTACTTATAATTGATTCCACTGGTTTCTATTATTCTGAGCATGCATCCAAGCGTTGTGTTGAGCGAGCGTTTGTAGTGTATTTGAAAGTTAATGGAAAATAGGCAAATTCGACGATGAACTGGTAAAAAAAACCTTAACCTATCACATCTTGATCTTTTACTATTGATTAAACTGATTTTACTTTGCTATTGCAATCTGGCTTTGTGGAATTAACTACTCCGATTAATTTGAAAATTAACATTTTTCATCTTCATTTGGCGGTAAATGATGGGGTTAAATTTTGTCCTAGGGTTTGTTAATTTGTAAGGGAATTGAGGTGAGATTTGAGAATTAGCAAATTCATAGAAACTGATATTACGTCCGAAATTGGGGTCACCGGATGTGCTTCTCCAATGCTCTGGGTCGATTCATCATTTTTTCTGGCTTTTTTTTTGTCTCTTGGTTGACTTCCGGGCGATTGGTATCAGAAATGCATCCATTTTTCGGATTTATAGACAACGAGTAATAGTTTCAACTGATTTTGGTAATCTTAAAACACTAGTCTTTTCTATTTAAACTCCATTCCCTTCATCTAGGAATAAGTTTGAATTTTGACTCGTTAAATTTCCTAAGAATGTTTATTCTAATAATTTTGCAATTCTGATATTTCATTTCATGGCAGATGAATCGACCCTTTCTCCATTATCCTTTCGAATAGATAGTATTT